GAGTCAGGAATTTTGGTACAGCTACACTGGGTTCCTCTGCTTCAGGTTCTCTCAAGAGATTGCAGTCAAGATGTAGTGTGGGACTATGGTCTCATCTGAAGGCTCAATTCAGAGGGATCCTCTTCGAAGCTCAATCATGTTATTGTTGGTAGGCCTTAGTTCCTCATCATGTGGGCCTCTTTACAGGGCTGCCTCATGACATAGCAACTGGCTACCCCCAGCATGAGCAGCCCAAGAAAAAATGAGTAATAGCACTCATGATGGAAGCCCTTTTACTAACCCGATATCAGAAGTGATAATTGTCACTTCTGCTATATTCTATTTATCAAAATTGAGTTAATATGGAGAGGGGATTACATAAGGGCAGGAATGCCAGGAGGCAGGAATCCTTGGTGGCCATTGTAGAGGCTGCCTACCATAGCCTACAGCCCTGCTGCTATGACTACTCTGTTCATACAGCACTGAGGTAGCTGGGAAGACAGGCTGCTTGACATCCATAGGACAAGTCTTCCTATCCACTTGGTTATTAAGTGTCTCCACAGAGGTAGATATTCTTCAGTGAGTATTAACAGGAGACACAAAAATCACTTTATGCTTTATGTACACTCCTGGCTTCTTCTCTAAATTTCTTTTTCTATGATTGCAAGTTTTGTTTCTTTGAGGCCTTTGATTTCTAAGTCTCTCCTGGGGCTCAGGAGTATTTCTGGTGTTGTCCCTCAAAAAGTGAGTACTTCTCTACCACAGTCAGCATGGGCTGTATGATAGTCCCCTCTTAGGGTTTACCAGAATCTTCGTGCAGTATCCTTACCCAGCAGATACATCTGCATTGTTGGATCTGCTGGGCCATGGCAGGGGAGCGTGCACTGTAGCCCAGACTTGATGCAGAGCCCACTCTTGATCTGTGTCCCATTCAAAGTTGGCAGCGTTTTGATTTGCTCAATGAATGAGTTGGAACAGTATTTCCAAGTACAGTTACTATCCCACTTGTTCAGAAAGTGATTCTGGGGCCCAGATTGAGGATTGGGTAAGTCAGACAGAGAAAGACAGAAAGCCAATGCATAGGTGGGTTATTGAGTTTGCCTTTGCTACCCATTACTGGTGCTTGATTCCACAGGATCATCTGAGGACCTTATGGAATGAGTCTCAGAGCTGTCTGCTGCCTGCAGAACAAAAGGGATTCACTGATCCATAGGCTCCTGTTCCCCATTCTCCTGTTTCCTGTCTCATGGATGCACATGGCTTGGGCCTGAAGTAAGGCACTATCATGTTGTGCTCATGCAAAGCCTGAAAGTGACTGGGTGCCACTGCAGGGGCTCCAGTAAGTGGCAGGACTGAAAGAATTTGAAAAGATGTACATGTGGAAGGGAAGGAAGGGGACCTTTCTAGGTCTCTCAGACATCTAGAGGAAATTATCAGAGATATTTCACAAAAATATTCTTTTATCAATGCTATTAATACTTCCTTATTTAAGTAACCTCTCAAGGGGTGTGTTCTCCAGTTGGCTACTTGGTTTTGTTGAATAAAAATAAAATATCACAACAACTGCATATTGGGTCCTGGAGCCCTGCAAGCAGCTTATTGTATACAGGTTGCTTCATAGTTCCAGGAGGATAAAAACATGACCAGTCTAATGTTTTTGTCAAAATTAGAAACTATCTCCATCCCATGCTTGGTTTTTATTACACGTACTGTGCATCTACTAGGCACTGGGCATTAAGCTTGATGCTGGGGATACCAAGATGAATGTAATGTGGCCTCTAATCTTGAGCTTAGAGTCTAGTGGGAAAGAATGATGTGAGGGTATGGTAAGAACTGTGAGTTCACAGCCCACTAAGTGTATGGGGAAAACACCTCGCATTTGTAAGGGAGTCTGCAGTGTTCTTTAATAAAATACAGTTGACCATTGTACAACACAGGTTTGAACTGTGCAGGTCCACTTATATGAGATTTTTTTCAATAACAGTTACACTAAGTATGCCTGCTTCTCCTGCTTCCTCTTCCACCCCCTCCAACTTCTTTCACCTCTAACAACCCATCCTCTTCCTCCTCCTCAGCTTACTCAGTGTGAAGACAACAAGAATGAAGACCTTTATGATAATGCATTTCCACTTAATGAATAGGAAATATATTTGTCTCTCTCTCTCTCTCTTTTCTTCTCTTTTGAGACAGAGTCTTGGTTTATCACTCAGGCTGGAGTGCAGTGGTGTGATCTCAGCTCACTGTAACCTTCGCCTCCCAGGTTCAAGTGATTCTCCTGCCTCAATCTCCTGAGTTAGCTGGAATTACAGGTGCCTGCCACCACACCTAGCTAAATTTCTGTGTTTTTAGTAGAGTTGGGGTTTTATCATGTTGGCCAGGCTGATCTCAAACTCCTGATCCCAAGTGATCTGCCCACCTCAGCCTCCCAAAGTACTGGGATTACAGGTCTGAGCCACTGCTCCCAGCCCCTTATGATTTTCTTAATAGCATTTTTTTTCTCTAGCTTGCTTTATTGTGAGAATACAATATATCCTGTATATAATATGTAAATATGTGTTTATGTTATTGGTAAGGCTTCCAGTCAACAGTAGGCTATTAGTAGCTAGGCTTCTGGGGAGTCAAAAGTTATATGTGATTTTTGACTGCACAGGTAGTTGGCACCTCTAACTACTGTGCTATTCAAGGGTCAACTGTAGTACCTCAACCTTCCAAGACTGGCAATGCAAGAATTATCACTCAGGGAGGAGATGGCTAGACTTTCCTCTTGTTCTGTCAGATTCACTCAGTGCTGCTAATCTCTCAGATCTCTTCAACCCCAAATCTCAAAGGTGGATAGACTTAACCCTTGTAAAGACCTTTATAAACTAATTCCTATAGTTCACCTGAGGCCAGGCTGGAATATTTAAACAGTATTCATTTAGGTTTAAGGATAACAGAACAAAAGAGTGCTAGACAGTGAGAAATGCAGCTTAGCTAGTTTCCATTTCAAATGCTGGAGGGCATCTCTATGCCTAGGTTCTGCAGGCCTCCCTACAGTTAGTAGTCTCCTGTACTGACCTGAAATGACCTTCCGTCAGCCTACCTCCTCAGAGTCCAGACCCAAAGGAGCAAAGACCAGAAGAAGATGGTGTGTGTGGGGAGGTAGGGATTCAGGTTGTCTTAGTAGTGATCTTGCTGCAATGGAAAGTCTATGTGACATATTACTAAATGGAAAACAAAAGGATTTTTCAAATGGCACTTAAATTCAAGAAATATTTATTGAGTACCTGCTGTATGGGAAGCTTTGCTACATGTTGGGATACGGTGGTGAATAAGTCAAAAATGAGTCCTTTTTGTAAAAAATTATGAATCAGACATGAGTTCAGCATGATCTCATTAATGGTCATATATATGTTTTTATGTTCTTATGAATGTGAATTCTACCATTCTGTTAGTTTCTTATTTAGGACCTCTTTTCCAAATGACTTACTTATTTAACAAACTTTGTGTCAACAAAAAGAGTCAAACTCTGTAAAACATTTCAAGAAATTTATTCTGACTCAAATATGAGTGACCAATGGCCCATGACATAGCCCCAGGAGATCCTGAAAACATATGCCTAAGATGGCCAGGCTACTGCTTGGTTTTATGCATTCTAGAGAGATGTAAAACATCAATCAATACAGGTAAGGGGTACATTGGTTTGGTCTAGAAAGGCGGGACAAGTGGGGGTCATCCAGGCCATAGGCAGATTCAAAGATTTTCTGATTGGCAATTGGGGTGAAAAGGTTATTATCTAAAGACCTGGAATCAATAGAAAGGAATGCTTGGGTTAAAATAAGGGGTTGTGGACACCAGGGTTTTATTCAGATGAAGCATCCATGTAGCAGGCTTCAGAGAGAATAGATTGCAAATATTTCTTATCAGACTTACACAGTCTTTTCTATTGGTCTTAAAGTCTCTTATTAATGACGGTCAGCTATGCTTGAATTCCAAAAGAGAGGAAGGTATAAAGAGGCATGTCTGATTCCTCCTTCCCTTCGTGGCCTGAACTAGTTTTTCAGGTTAACTTTGGAATGCTCTTGACTGAGAGGAGGGGTCCATTCAGATAGCCCAGTGGGGTGGGGTGGGGGTTTAGAATTTTATTTTGGTTTACATTCATGTGAGACTTAATAAGTACCAGCACTATTCTAAGCACTTCACAATTATTAGCTCATTTAAGTTTTTCATCATCTACATTTTACAGGTGAAGAAACTGGGGCATAGTGAGGTTAAGTAACATTGTCTAACATTACACAGTTCTTAAGATGCAGAGCTATGATTTGACCGCAGGCAGTCTGGGCCCAGGGTTCATGTTCTTAACCACTACTGTAAATTCTTGAAACCTGAAACAAGTCCTTTTGATCCTTACCTTAAAGGTGGGGCCAAACTCCTTAATCTTAACCCATAGCCTCAAGAATACAATATAGTATGGTTGTCCTTAAAAGGGAGATTCTGCCCTGTATTCCTCAGGAGACTCTCTCAGGAAGGGACTGCTAGAGCCCACTGGAGATGTGCCTCATTTTATATATTTTTGAACATGTAAAATAGTCAAATGTTGTTCAGCATCTACCATGCGTCAGACAATCAGTTAGGTGTTTTAACTCTTATATCTATCTGTAAAACGGGCATTATTATTTCCAGCTGTGAGGCTAAACAGCACACATATCAGTGTTGTCCAGCTATTGGAGGGTGGAATCCCAAATGTATGCCGGTTTGCCTAAACAGGAGGCCCAAGCTTTTGTGTGCCACACACATTGTTGTAAGCTAAATATTTAGGATACACTAGAGGTGATTATTTGAAGAAGTCCTATAGTCATTTCCTTGGTAAGGCACATTATCTACAAACCTTCTTGCAGGGATTTGAGTTAAAGGGCAAGGATTTTCTTGACTGCTTGCATGATGGAAGTTTATTTCATTACACATACATCACTTTACCCCATTTGACACCAGATAATGACATCGAAAATACCCTTAATACATTTTTTAGGTCACTCCATCCATTAAGCAGATAATGCCGCAAAGCAACGTCCCGGAGAGATACTTCAGTTTCCCCAAACGCCCAGGGTGTGGAGACTGGGATAGTGTAAGTTGCGCCCGAACTAAACAGGAGGGCTGTCCGAGAGACAGGAGGGCACGTTCCGCGAGGGTTAAGGGGCGGAGGCAGAGGATGGCAAGCGCGGGGCACCACCCTCCGGGGACCCGGCCCCGCGGGGTGTGGCGCGGACGCAGGGCCGCGCAGCCTGCGCATGCGCGCCCGGCCGGCGGTCACGCCCCCATAACCGCCGTGTTGGCGTTGCGTTACACGGTTACCCAGGTTCTCCGCCCCTCCTTCTCGCGGCGCTCGAGGGACCATGGCCGATCCTCGCGTGAGACAGATCAAGATCAAGACCGGCGTTGTGAAGCGGTAAGGAGCCGGGAGCGGCGCCCTGCACCTCCTCTTCGTCGCCTCATGGCGGCCCGCGAGGCCGAGCGGAGCGCAGGCCCGAGGCGGGCTCTTAACTCCAGGCCTCACCGGGGGCTCCGCAGCAGGCTGTGACTGGCAGGGACCCAGCGGGGCGCGCTGACTCCCGAGCCCGCGGGCCTGGCACGGCGCCTCCCGTGCCTCTTCGCTCACTAGCCGCTCGGATTCGCGGAGGGAGTCGGTGGTGGCCCGGTTTCTTGGCGCCCGCGGTGGGGAGGCGGTGGGCCGCGGCGTTGGGGGTGGGGGCGAGAGGGCGGGCCGGGCTCTGATCCGGTGTCTCCTGTGTGCGCGCGCCGGCGTCTCCTTGCTGAACTTGAGCCAGTGAGGCGGATCCCACAGGTGCTCTCAAATGGACGTGAAAGCAGGCTCTGAAGTTTAGGGGGATGCCGAGAATCCGGGCCTCGTCAAAAAAGAGACCGTAGTGGAGCCGTGTGTCCTATCATGGCTGGCATGACTGGCAGGCTTTGAGAACTGGGCCCGAACTTCTAGCACACTCAGCAAACTTATGTGGCCTCACTTTCTCCAGTCAGATTCCCCGAAACCCGCCCCAGAGGGCGAGAGATGCTGTTTAAATTACTTGTGAACCAGAAGTATCTGAGACAGGTCTCAATCAATTTAGAAAGTTTATTTTGCCAAGGACGGATGTTCCCATGACAGAACAGCCTCAGTAGATCCTGATGACATGTGCCCAAGGAGGGTGGGGCACAGCTTAGTTTAATACATATTAGGGAGACCTGAGACATTAGTCAACGTGTAAGGTGTACCTTGGTTCCCTCCAGAAAGGCAGGACAACTGGAAGGGTGGGGGGCTTCCAGGTCATACATAAGAGACGAATGGTTGCATTCTTTTGAGTCTTTGATCAGCCTTTCGCTTAGTACACAATTTACTTGTGAGAGAGGGGTGGAGGAATAGTCACTTATGCCTAAGTCCACCAAGTGAATCTGCGATTTTACTTACACAATAGGACACCGGAAGCAGTCAGATACCCATTTGTCTCATGGGTAGAGGGGTGACTTTGAGTTCTGCCCCTTGTCATATACCTGTGAAGATAAGCTGTCAATTTACATTGCCAGAGTGAAATCCAACAGAATTGTTTTAGGGAAAAGATCTTAATGGTCAGGGAGGTAAGTAGCTTTTAAAAAAATCTTTGTAGCTAATCTTATTCGGGAATAAATGAGAGGCAGGTTTGCCTGATGCAGTTCCCAGCTTGACTTTTCTCTTTGGCTTAGTGATTTGGGGGTCCTGAGATTTATTTTTGCTTTCACAAACTCACGGGTAGTTCAGTCCTGTGATTTGCTCTAATTCCTGTAAACCAAAAAAGTATCTGAGACAGATCTCAATCAGTTGAGAAGTTTATTTTGCCAAGGTTGAGGATATGCCTGTGACAGCCTCAGGAGGTCCTGATGACATGTGACCAGGTGATCAGGCTACAGCTTGGTTTTATACATTTTAGGGAGACATAAGACATCAATACATGTACGATGTACATTGCTTCGATCTGGAAAGGCAGAACAACCCAAAGGGGGTTGGAGGTGGGGGGGCCCAAGTTACAGGAGGTTTTCCAATTGGCAATTCGTTGAAAGAGTTTATCTTAAGACGTGGAATCAATACAAGGGAGTGTGTCTGAGTTAAGATAAAGGGGTTGTAGAGATCAAGGTTCTTATTAGGCAGATGATGCTTCCAGGTAGCAGGCTTCAGAGAGAATAGATTATAAATATTTCTCATCAGACTTAAAAAGGTCCCAGACTCCTAGGTAATTTTCCTGGATTAGGAAAAAGACCTGGACAGGGAAGGGGATTCTCTACAGAGTGTAGATTTTTCCCCAGAAGAGACAGCTTGGCAGGGCCAATTCAAAATATGTAACATATATATTTTAGGGTAAAATGCATGTATTTCTTTCAGATCCTGCTATCTGTCATATGATGCCATACTAGGGTAAGGCTGGAATTTGGTGTCTTATTGCTGCAAAAAGACTTCTCAAGTTCTGTTTTAATGTTAATGCTGGTCAGTTGTTCCTGAATTCCAAAGGGAGAAGTTATGATGAGACTTGTCCGACCCTCTCTTCCCATCATGGCCTGAATTAGTTTTTCAGGTTAACTTTAGAATGCCGTTGGTTGAGAGGAGGGGTCCATTCAGATGGTTGGGGAGCTTAGAATTTTATTTGTAGTTTACATTCCTGACTGCTGGTAGACACTTCAGTGTTCATTAGAACTTTATTGTTGAGACCCAAGAAGAGCAAACTGTTTTTGATGAAGTATTCCGGGAGAAAAGATAAACAGCCTTCTGAAGAAGCAAGTTATTTTGTGGTAGCACTGTCTACTAAAGAAACCAACTGACTTCTTCCTGTTTGCCCACCTTTCCATTGTTTATTGATAGTTCCACCAGAGGAAGGACAAGGCAAAAGGGAGAATAAATTCACTTTTAAGATAATGCTTCTGAGTTTTAGCACAACATCCCACTGTACTTCCCTGGAAGCTTTATTGCTAAGGCATAAGGAGACTATGTGAGTAGGAGTTAAATGCACAGCTGTTTCTGAAGTAATACTGCTTGGGTTCAGATCTTTATTCTGCCCTTTATTGTATGTTGTGGAATATATTACATTATACTATACTTCTTTTACCTTATTTGTAAAATAGAGCAAGTACCCAACTTACGCATTTGTCGCAAGAACTGCCTGCTATGCTGTTTAACACAGTATGTGGCAAATAGCAAGTGGCTAGTAAATGTTAATAATACTGTTTGTATTTCCATTTTACAGATGAGAAACTGAGGTTTATCAATAACAGGCGTCATACGTGATTAGGTTAAAAAAAAAAAAAAGAGAAACAGGTTTAATGAAGTTAAAAAAAGAAAAACAACTTTCCTAAAGTCACACTGCTAGTTAGTGGCAATGCAAGGAAAAGCACTAAGGTTTTGAGTCTACAACTTTCTCCTTTAAGCTACAGTGCTCCCATAAAGAGTATTTTAAAAAATTTGTAATAGGAAGAGAATTGAGATGTATACTTGAAAATATAAATAATCCACACTATCCCTCAGCCCAGAGTTCTCTTGTTCACTTTTACCAGACTTCCTTGGGTTATGCCATTTTAGTCACTGCATTTGGCAGAACTATCAGGGTATGTTGCAGAGAGTGCTGTAGAGCGAATGAGAAATGACTTCTAATGATAGTTTCCCATTCATTTACTTATTTGACCTTGACATTTCTCGTTCTGATGATCTATACTGGTTTATAAGTTACTTCAAGTAGTTATATGCTTACAATACATATTCTAGAGAAAATACTTATTGAGATTATAAACTAAGTTTTTGACGTAAGTTCTCAAGTGCTTATATAAACTGCTTAGAAATAAATTTATCATTTAATGAATTCTGTTCATAATTTACTATTATCTCAAATTGTTTATAAATGAATGGAAATGTCTCCCATACATTTTTAAATGACTTTTCTGTTGACATTTTGGGGTATAGCTTCCCCCTTATATATTAAAATGCAATTTAAAGAAACCCCTAAACTTCCTGTTTTAGCTGTTTATTACCTACATTTGTCTTGGTATATCACCATCTAACTTCATAAATATTGCCCCCTCCTGTTTCTTGTTATTTTCACCTGAAAATTATTTTACTATGACTGTTTCCATCTTCTGCCTTAGTATCCAATTTTTATTTTTTATTTTATTATTTATTTATTTTATTTTACTTTAAGTTCTGGGATACATGTGCTGAATGTGCAGGTTTGTTATGTAGGTATACATGTGCCATGGTGGTTTACTACACCTATCGACTCATCATCTAGGTTTTAAGCCCTGCATCCTATTTTTAAAAATCTACATTTTACCTCAGCAAAGAAAAAAATTGATGAGGCAGCAGTGGCAACATATTAATAATTGTTGGGGCTGAATGATCATGACACTTCATTATATTCTTCTGTACATAAGTTTAACATTTTTCATGATAAAAGGGTTTAAAAGGTATGCTTTTTTCCTCCTGTCTCCAAAATTAGTTTCAAATATTTCTTAATTTCATGATTCAGACATGTTCTTGGTTTTGTGAAAGGGATTCTGTTCATTTTTTTTTTTAAATCAATAGTTTTAAAAAGCTATTCTTGACACAGTTTTAAATCTGTTCTTGATACTCTTTTTCTGGTTAGATGTTCATTTTCCTATAGCCTCATTTATCTTTGGAAGTCACAGCCTTTATTTGGAAGAAGAGGTTTAAAGTCATTGTTCATGCCCCCAGTTATTTCCGTTTTCCCTCTAGAAATTGAGAGCAACTAGAAATTATATTCCAGGTATTTGTCCTAGAGTTCAGTTTGGGTAGGCTATACTAGGAAGGGTGGATTAATTTAGTTTCTAATTAGATCTGTTTGAACACTTCAAGTAACTCAAAAGTTTCTGATAGTGGGTCTTACAAAGAAATGCGGACGGTTGGGTTGAATATTAGGGGAATATGGAGGCAGGCAATAAGTAGATGATGGTATTTGATTGGCATCAAGGAGACCCAGCCATGAGTGGAAGATGGCCATTTCACATGTTGGCAAAATGGCAAGGGTGACCTAATGGATAGCAGCCCACATTATTAGAAAGTAGAAACAAGTTTCAGGGGCAGTAATTTTTAGGCCCTAGGAAAATAGGCAGCAGGTTTACAGTGAGTATCCTGTTTCTAGAGAAACTTTGTTACTTTGTACAGTAAAAGACAAAGCATTTGATATCTGGGAAGTGAGCTTCAAGGGAGAGAGATTAGATTAGTAGGAATAAAAAAAGTCTAGATATTAGGAATGACTTAGAAGGTAGGAGTTGGACAGAATGAGGCTGACTTGGTCCCAAGCCTCCAACTCTGAGGGCTCCTTAAATGTCTTCCTCCCAGCAATAAGATTTTAATAGTATTATTGTTATTTTTAATTGACACATACTTATACATATTTTCAGGGTACCCTGTGTATTTTGATACATGTATACAATGTGGAGGATTGCTTTTTTTTTTTTTTTTGAGAACTAATTCTTGCTGTGAAACTAGAGAAATGTGTATACTAGAGGCTAAGATAGGTTATTAAAAAAAATTTTTTTTGAGACACTCTTGCTATGTAGCCCAGGCTGGAGTGCAGTGGTATGATCTCAGCTCACTGGGTTCAAGCAATTCTCCGTGCCTCAGCCTCCCAAGTGGCTGAGATTACAGGTGCCCGCCACCATGCCTGGCTAATTTTTGTATTTTTTAGTAGAGATGGGCTTTAATCATGTTGGCCAGGCTGGTCTTGAGCTCCTTACCTCAGGTGATCCACCTGCCTCAGCCTCCCAAAGTGCTGGGATTACAGGAGTGTGCCACTGAGCCTGGCCCTAGCTGGGTTATTATGCTAAGTTTCTTTGAGCAGCAGCCTTTTTCACATGTGACTCACTGATAGTGGGTATTGGTTGGCAGGTTTGGGTCTGGCTGGCCCTTTTTTTTTTTTTAAAGATTTGGATCTATGTTTCCAGCAGATTGCTGGATTTATTGATATCTGTGACAGGGTCACAATGAATCTGGCAGCCCTAGCAGAGTGTTACCAAATAATACTCAATTTTTTTCCCCCAGCACAGAACTGTGAACACTCTGGGTTTTTATTTGGTGCGGGGGGGGGGGGGGGGGGCGGTGCAGTGCTGGTGGAATATCTGAGTGGTGTCAATTATCCTAGTTTGCCTGAGACTGAGGGGTTTCCCAGGATGTAGAGAACATTTCACTGCTAAAACTGGGAACGTCCCAGGCAAACCAGAATGATTGGTCATCTCTTCTGTAACTAGCTAACATAGCTCTGTTTTGTGTGTTCTGTGATTTATTTGGAGGCTGTTTGCAGATAGTACAACTGTGAGTTATATGTTGTACCTCAATTTAAAACTTAAGTGCATGGTGTAAATATGAATCCTTAACAGAGTAGCTTTTTTTTCCTGTATTTAAATTATTAATGATGTAGAAAATAATTTTCACTAAAGTAGGAGAAAATACAGAATTGATATTTTCTAAATGTGGTATTTCAGCTAAGTGACTTATATATCTACCAAAAGTTTCCAAGTGGGATTTGTGTTTATAAAATACAATTTTTATTAGGTTTGTGGTAAATTCAAGAAATTCTTCTAAAGTAAAAAATACTGTTAATCATTTTACATAAAAGGTTACTTAACTTTAAAGCTAACTAATTTTCAATAAAGCTTGTTAAACTAACTCACTGGTGAGTGAATTAATTGATTAAAAATATTTTCTTAAATTTATCTTTTTATAACCATTTTCGATTGGTAATGGCTTAAAATCCAGTGTGAACAAAGAATGTTAGGGCATTGGAAATAGCACTGACATTGGCCCATAGTTTTCCTCTGATTAAATGAAAGTGACACCGGTAGATTAGAATGAGACTAGGACAATTCACACTGCAATTGTGTTAGTTTAACTTTAACAATCTTTTAACACTCTTGTTTAAATGTAGCTGACATACCATAATTACAAATCTACAAGCCTTGATTATAGAATTTTACATCATGAACCTGTGGGGAAATTGTATTGATTTTTTTTTTTTTTAATAAAGCAAGCATTGTTCCCAAACTGTGGCATCTTCCCAAGTTTGTTTATATCTACATCTCTCATATACAACTGTGTATGGTACATATGCTATGTATAGCAGGTATGAAGACAACATAAAAGGTACGTAAAATATCTACGTTATTAGTTCAATATATATTATACTGATATAAAAAGTGAATAATGCAAATGACACATATACTTAAGTAGACATAAAGTTTCCCCCCATTAGTTTTTGCTGTTTAGATACTTCTTATATTTAAAGCAATGGCGCATAGAAGTATGGTGGAAAGTATCTGGGAGAGGTTTAAGAACATAGTCCTGTAATTTATTCCTGTAAGCTTTGCTAGCTTTGTTTTCTTTTCTCCTCTTCTGCACTGTACTACCCCATTGCTAAGTTCAACCAGAATGGCTACCTTCCTCCTTTGAAATTTAGCTAGTTCCTTTAGGAATTTCTGTAATGTATTCAGTTCTCCAAAGTGGTGTTCAGAGGCCATGTCAAAATGGATTGCAGGTCAGCTCTTCACCACATTCTGCCAACTACTCGGCAAGTAGTTACTCTTAGGAGCAATATAGCAGGCAACCAGATGTTTCTTCAAGCTGGAAAGGGAGAAGGCTAAGGCCACTCATCACCACAGTTTTCTCAACACAAGATATTTTATTCTCCAGGTTGAATGTGGAAATGAAAGTTTTTTTGCCCTGTATGTGTATGGGTGTTTTGTTTTTTCATTACATTTTTTTTTGTTTTGTTGGAAATTTTGAAAATCTGTAGTAAGCAAGGTTGGAAAATTTTATTAATAATGGCAATCTAAAACTCTTAGTAAACACTTAGATGTATGATGTCTATTCCAGTATTCTATATTCAGTAATATATTTATAAAAGAGTATAATAATTTTGTATTGTGATGCTGATATGTCCAAATACAACTGATTTTTTTTTTCTTAATAACTTGTCATAGGTTTAACTGATCCAAAGATCACTTATTTAGCAGCCTCACTCAGAACCTACATCTTACTGTCTTTGAATCATCTGGTATGGTGTTGGCACATAATACTTAGTAATAAGTCTTTGCAATGAACAGATGAAAAACTGAAACATTCCTTTATAAGGATTTTGAACCTGATCTGATAAGCAGTAGAGAGCCACTGAATCAATTACTATATTACAGTGTAATAGTTACTATAGTTGTTTATTCTTGCAGTGAGAGTTAAACAGAGATGGACTCCCAGGCTCCACTTACTACACATTATTACATATGTGACCCTTGGAAAGTTACTTAGCCTTTAAAAGCCCCAGGATTCTTAGCTGGAACATGGGGTTAATGAGAATATCTTTTTTTTTTTTTTTTTTTTTTTTTTAGGAGAATTAAATAAGATAGTCATGTAACGCACTTAGCCCAGATGCCTGATATATAGTAAATGTTCAATAAATGCTAACTGCTCTCATTATTAACACCTATCTTCGTTCATTTGCGCGCTATGAAAGCACCTGAGACTGGGTGATTTATAAATAATAGATTTTTATTGCTTATAGTTCCAGAGACTGGGAAGTCCAAGATGAAGAGGCCGACAAATATCTGGTGAGGGCCTGGTCTCTTGCTTCCAGGATGGTACCCTGAACACCATGTCTTCACGTGACAGAAGGGAATAAAAGGGCCTAAGGCTGTGTGAAGCCTCTTTTATAAGGGCCTTACCCCCATTCACAAGAGAGGAGACCTCATTACCTAATTACCTTCTAAAGGCCTCATCTGTTAACACTGTTGCATTAGAAATAAAGTTTCAGTGTGAATTTTGGAGGGATACAAACATTCAAACCATAGCAGCAGCATCTTTATTACTTTTCTGTAGATTATCAACAATGTGAGTAAGGACTTAAGGATGAATGGTTACAGATCCCCAGAAGAGACTCTGGAACTTGCTTTCTTTAAATTGTGATAAAAGCTTGTATTTTAGTTGCTTGTTCTGGTCGCTGATTGTGGAGGGAGAAGGGAAGAGTATGAACCAGTGTTTTTGGATAATTTCTAAGACTTTGTAATGATCATCCTTTGGTGATCATTGCTGAGCCAGTGATTCCCTAACCCCAAGCCCCAGCAAAAAAAAAAAAAAAAAAAAAAAAATCGTCGATTTCTGTTAATTATCTTGTATTTTAAACAGCTTAAAAAACACTGTATCTATATCATTAGCACAATATGGCAAGGCTAGTTTTGCTCTTTTATTGCACTGTCAGTAAGTTTATTGTAGGGAAGAGTAGTCAAGTGAGTTCTGGAGAACCCTAATTTCAAAATCTATAAATGATTCACACAGTGATTAGAAGATTTTTTTTTTTTTTTTTTAAAGACAGGGTTTCACCATGTAAGCAAGGTTGGTTTTGAACTCCCGACCTCAGGTGATCCACCTGCCTCAGCCTCCCAAAGTGCTGAGATTACAGGTGTGAGCCACCACGCCCGGCTGAAGATATTCTTACAATTCTAGTGCTAGATTATAGATATTTCCAAATTTTCCTTAATGTTTTTTAACTGAGTTCTTTGTTTGTAGTTGTTGAGATCCTTTCACTTCCACAAATATGTTATGGAGTTCTGTGTGTATTTGCATGTGTGTGTTCTAAATCAGGATTTATTTGTCTGTAAACGATATTGGAGCAAATAGGTATCAACTTTTTCATTAAATGTTCCTCGGCTTCTGAATAATATTGATGTCATGATTTTAATATAATATCTGTTGCCTGAAATACCTTTGTCTACTGAAGTGTGTTTGAACTTAGATTACTAGTATAGTGTTAAAAAATTTTGATCTCCAAATCTAGAATGTTAAGTTCTGAAGACACTGAATTATATCAAAGTATACAAAGATTTTCTTAAGGCCAAACAGTTCTTCACATCTTTTCAGGACCAAAGGGATGGTGTCTAATATATGATTACTTTTCACAGAATTGTTTTTCACCAAATAAACACTTAGTAGATATTTGTTAATTGAGTTAAGGACTGGAGGAAACCAGAAAAGAGTTTATGAGGGTGAACACATCAAGAGACTAGAAATAAAAGT